GGAGCGCGCTCTCAGGTGCGGGTGCCCGGAGCCCGGCCCCGCACGCTCCAGCTGGGTGCGTTCCTGCTCAGCCCAGGCGCCCGCCGGGAAGTTCATGCTTCTCGGTTCAACTTTTCGGGCCCGCGCGAGGATCGAGCGCCCCTCTACCAGGCGAGAGCCCTGTGCGCTCTTGTGCTTCTGGCCCAACTCTTTGCGGGGGCCCGGGGCGGCCGTCTTTCCATGGCCCAGGAGGAAAATGCCTTTGAAATCCCAGCTTCTGACCCGAAATTTGCCGCCAAACCCAGCATCTTCTCTTAGAAGATGGTCTCTCCTCTCCTTTGGGGCTCCCCTTCCCTATCACCTCCGTGGTGTGTGAGCAGCCAGGTGCCATATGGGCGAGACTGAAAAGGCTCTTGGAGGCTTCGCGCCTGTGGCCGCTCAAAATTTGCCAAGGCTCTAACCCCTTAGAGCCCATCGGAGTTATTATCCCCCTGAGAAATTAAGATGGGGGTTATTTTATAGTTGATTAGCACTCCCCGCTCCCCCCAAGAGATTAGCTCTTTAGCCTAACTGGGAGATAAGCGTTATTAGCATCATGGTAACAGACAAACAGGGCACCTGTGGCTCAGAGAAGTTATATGACTGGTTCAAGATCATACAGCTTTTAAGTGGCAGAGATTGGACCAGAACCTATTGCTTCTGTTTCAAAATCCAGTGTCATTTCTACTCTATAGTAACCATAAAATGGAGAAGAGTTTGGTACCCCTGCTTCCTTAGACATAGTCTCTCTAAAGCCTGTTCCATTTTTAGCTTTTTTAAACCTTGTGTAAAAGCATGAAAATATCGGGTGTTGTGTAGCGAGTACATTGACTTTGGAATGTGCCATTCTGCATTATGCTTTCGGGACCCTGTATGTTCCCATGGCTTGTGTGAGGATAATGGGACGTTTGTGTCCGGCGTACAGAGTACAAAGCACTTTCACATGTCGGACATCGGTGGGCCAGCTTGGCCCTTCTGGAAATTTCCTTTGCCATCAGAGTCCGGGCATCCTTAAGGCTTTTAATCCAGGGATGTTTTTCAAGCTGTGAGCTTGCAGCTGCTGTGGCTGGGGCTAGAGAAGGGGGTTGGATGGCAGATGTGAAACTTGCAGAAAGCTGACCCCTTGGGGCTTTAAGTGAGACATTTTGCGAAAAACACACACCAGAGAGAGAAATTTAGAAAGGCATTATTATTAGACTTGGTTTCCCTGAGGTTGACCTGTTATTATGTCATAATATGAGGTTCCCCTGGAGAAAGGTTGAATTAGTTTTAATATAGACAGATGGACTCAGCTTCCTACTGGGTTTTATGTATGTGTGTGCTTTTCTAGTTTTGCCACTTAAAAGAAAACCCAGAGTCACTGTGCCAGTGGGGACTAGTACAGGGGAGGAGGGAAGAGATTTGCCAGAGAGGTTTTCAGACAATGGGCTTTGTTGATCAAGGTTGAGAGCCCTGACGCTCTGGACTCGTAAGGCACTTCCTCGGGGTATGAGCTTGTTTTTCTATGAGTTTTGTTTTGAACACCTCTCATCCTGCCTCCAGACACTCCCCTGATCTAACAGCAGAGTGCACCACAAGTGGGAATGTGAAAGTGTGTGTTTTGTTGACTTTTGGTCTGGGTTTCTTGGCAGCCCTGACTATCTGAGATCTGCCGAGATGACTGAGGTGATGATGAACACCCCCTCCATGGAGGAGATTGGCCTCAGCCCCCGAAAGGATGGCCTTTCCTATCAGGTGAGTTCAGTGCTGGCTTCCTTCTAGCTCCTCAGAGCCTAGTGGCTTTTGCTGGGCCCGGTGGCAGACTTGGTTCTGCATCCCAGTGCCACTTGTAAGAGCTGTGTGACCTTGGGAAAGTCCCCTAATGCCAGTAAGCCTCAGTTTCTTCCTCCATAAAATGGGGCAACAATATCTTTTACCTCATAGAATTGTGGTGAAGACCAACAGATGAGAGGATGTGTATAAGGCATTGACAGTCCCTGGGACACAGTAAGGGTTCATCAAACAGGAGCCAATGCTATTAATTAGTCATCCTGGTGGCTGTGGACTCTCCCATTCAGGCAGCTAAGAAGGAAGTAATTCACACAGCTCGTTCAGGCAGAACTTCCCCTCCCAGCCTTGCCTTGGGCAGTGGAAACACTGCTCTGAGGGGCAGTAATGGGGAAGGGTGGTCTGGTGGAGGAATAGCTGTGTCAGACTCTGCTTTCTTCCTCAGGTTGATGGTTGACCAACTGATTCCTACAGAGTTAATGTTCAGAATTGAGGAGTTAATGTTAGAATTGAGGAGAGCTTTCCCCAAAGAGAGGCTATCTCAGGGGTGCCATAGCTGGAATCTAGCTTAGAAATTGTCCTGTGAGGTGGATTTAAAATATATAAAGGACCAAAAAAGTGGCCTAAGTAAGAGCTTTGGATTCTCAGCATAGCACTCTCTCTGGCCTGCCATGTTGCTTTTCCACCTCCCCCAGACAGTGTCAGAACACCTGAGGTTACCTGTGGGGTAGGTTTCTGAGGAGAGTACCTAGGCTATTACACTTTGGGGAGGCAGGAGTCTGTTTCTAAGGGAAGACCTTGGGGCTAGGGATATTGTGTAGGGTGGCTGGCGTGGGGAAGAAAAATGGAGCTGTCATGGGCCCATTTAGCAGATATTAACTGAATAGTAACTGAAGTCTGCTGTAGGCCACGCTCTTTACAGATGATATGCATTCACTCTTTAAATTTTTACTTACTGATTTTAGAGAGAGACAGGAAAGGAAGGGGAGAAAGAGAGAGCAACATCTATTTGTTGTTCCACTTATTTATGCATTCATTGGTTGTTTTTTGTATGTGCCCTGACCAGGGATGGAACCCATGACCTTGGCATATGGGAACGCCGCTCTAACCAACTGAGTTACCCAGCCAGGGCCTCATTCACTCTTGACCATAGCTCTGAGGGAGGGGGGACTCTGTCTTTGTTCCGTGGAGGAAGAAACAGTCTCAGACTGAGAAGGTGACTTGAGTCCCCAACTACAAGGCCTTGCTCTTCTGATGGATCGTGGGTTTGTACCTTGGGTTGGTTCTTTGCTAGATTCCAGGCTTACTCTGGCTAGCCATTCCTTAGAACCACTCCAGGGGCATTTATTGTGGAAAGAAAGGAACAAATAGAAAGCCAGGCGGCTGCAATGGACAGAGGCGATCAAAGACTGCCTAGATGAAAGCTAAGGCTGGGAAAGGTAGATTGGCGGGTGACTGTAGTCACCACAGACATGCTTGAGAGGTTTAAGAAGGCCCCTTTGTTTTTGCACCAGTGTGGTCAACCCCCTTTTGCTGGCTGGAAATAAATATTCAGGTGGCCCGAGGGAGTGTGGGAGAGAGGGGAATACCCTTTCCTGGTAGTCTTGTTCCCTCCACTCCCAGAGGGGTCTGAGCGAGACGATGGGAGGCCCAGCAGCCTGTGGGAGGGCAGAAGTTTCCTGGCTCACCAGCTGGGGTGTTTTCAAATACCAGTTTCCAAGCCACTGAATCAGACTGAATCTCTTTGTGGTTACAGGTGAGGTTTTCTTGCCGTTCTGAGTTTTAGATTTCCATCACAGCACCTTTCCAAACACAGCCGTCGGTATGTGTTGTGTGTGCTTTTTAATTCCCCTTTTCAATATGTCCCAGGATAAAGGGCCGGGTCTCACAGGATACTTTTCTCAGGCCGTTCTGCTGGGTCTGAGGGAGAAGGCAGGTGACGGTGGAGGACGGGGCTGCAGCACTGGGTGAGGAAGGCTGAGCTGGGGCCGCAACGGCAGGAGGAAAATCAGATCAGCTCCGGGCTCCTGGAATGTCCTGGTGCTGCCTGAGGAAAGGACCCTCGAATCTTCCCTGTGGTGCTGGACTGAGGGCCACCGCTCAGCTCTCACAGCCCAGCGGGAAACTTGTCCCTGCTGCCTGGCTGGGGGCTACTGTCCAGTTCCAAAATATCTTCCCTAGAACTTCAAAGCAGTCTGTCACAGATTTCAGAAAGGTCTTCTGGTTGTCTGATGAAGAGGAAGAGGACAGGTTGTAATCTTTAGTCAAGCAACATTTATTGGCCACTTGCTCTGTGTAATGTGCTGTGCTGGGCGCCTGCACAGGGAGGCTTTGGGACTCATGCTGGGAAGCCAGTAGGTACATAACCACGGGAACACAGGCAGTCTGGTGGAGCAACACAGAAGCCATGGTCAATCCAGGTGTGGGTGGCAATGAGAAGGCTTGGATTGAGGTCAGACTGGGGCTGGCCTTGAAAGAAAATTAGGACTTTGAGAAGACACCTCTGTCTCTAATCTAATTTTGTTGCATCTCCAGATGCCCCTTGGCACACCGGGTTGATGTCAGGTGCAGGGCTCTGCAGAGAGCCTGCTTGACAATTGCCATATGATGGATACTCTCTGGGCCCGCTCGGAGCTAGTGCCTTCCAATTAAACACATTCCCACCAGCGCTCTGGGGATTGGCTGGGGCTGCACTTGGCCAGAGCCCGTCCACTGTGCATGCTCAGGCTGGGCTCAGATCTGGGGGCGGAAGATCTCAGAGCTCTGTTCTTGGCATTCTGCCTGAGGGTAATAATAGTACGCTGATTTTTACTGAGACCTGCTTTTCCAAGGAACTGAAAGTGGGAAGGAGACATCAATCCTGACTTGGCAGATGAAATAGAATCTCAGGCTTGTGATCTGACCTTGAAACAAGGTCGTAAAATAAATAGGCACACTGGGCTTTGTCAATCATTCTCCCACCTTCCAGACCTACCGAGAACGAAGCTTCCCTGATTTCCCTGACCCAGATATGACCTCCTGCAACACCTGTGGCATGTTGTGCTTTGAGATGCTGCTGCACTGGGTTTTGGGGACATGGGTCTCCCCTTACCTTCCTTGCCCAGGTCTCTGAGGGCAGGGGATGACTTCTTACCCTCTTTGTGCCCATCAGCCATCACCTTTCTTGCACCCCTTCCCAAACCAAGGTGCCTGCTGGTTCAGGGCCTCCACAGAGCAGGCACTGAGATGAAGATGGTTGTTTCAATGATGTCCAGTCTCCTGATTCTAAAGCTAGCCACCCTCACTCTGCTTTAGCATCTGTAAAGGGCCTCCCCAGCCTCATGCCTGTCACGGCTTCACGCAGATGCCTTTTTATCCCCTGAAAGATTCAGGTAAGCCCCATCTCTTGAGCTTAGGAAGTTAGTGCTATTTTGTGAGCATGTATAAAAATCGACAGAGCCAGTGACTTATTTTGTCTTGACATTTATTTAAAGACTCAATTCAATATGAGAAATTCATGTCTGCATACTCACTTGGCATGAATTATAACACCACCAGGTGGGTGAGTAAATGGTTACTAGAAAGTCTGAGTACATTTTGGGCTGGCTGTGGGTGGCAGCCAGCTCACGGAGTCTGAGTGGGAGGGTCTCATTGAGGACATTTATGTCCCTGATGGCTGCAACTCCCTCCCCACACTGCATCCGTGGGCCTCCTGTTGTCCTGCCCTGGGACAGAATTTATGCTGCTTAAGGTCTTCTTCCTTTCCCTAAGCCAGTGGCTGCTTTGCAGGGCCCTCCCTTGGCTCTAGGGGCTCTAAGAACGTGGCACTTTGGAGTGCCCCTCTGATTGGCTCTCCCTCCACACCACCCGACTGGCCAGGCCCTGAATGGGGAAGGGTCCTGAGCATTTGCCTGGGGACACTGATGCTGCCACAACCCAAGGGCCCCAGCACAGCTTGCTGAGGCTTCAGGTTTACTGCCCTTGCTAATTTCTAGATAGAGAACTGTCCCTTCTAAAGCATCTGGACCAAGATCTGATAACTCTCCTTCTCTGGGTTCTTTAGATTCCTCTCTGATCAGTACACGTGTCCCTTACCCGCGGCCCTCTGTATTCCTTCTTGGTCACGTACTCCGACCACCTGATGTCCAACTACCAGTCACACTGGCAGCCACTCTCTTTCTCAGGGAAGCTGCGAGGACTGCTGTCAACCAGAGGGAGCTAGTTCTTCACATGCCACCTTGCCCCATGCCCCGGGCCTTCCTTGATTCACAGAGCTCAGAGCTTCCCCGCCTCTTCCCCTGCATTTCCCAAGGCAGAAGGGAGGGATATCCTGGCGTTTTATATGGTAGGGAGGAGGGACAGTGGGGGGGCGACCTGTTCTTGCCACAGCCCTGTCATTGGCTCTGGCGGTCTGAGAGCCTCGGTTCTAGCTCTGCATTAGGACAGGTCTGACGCACCATGCTGGCCGAGAGCTAGCCTCTCCCTGGACCGAATTTCCCAGCCTCTTCCATCTCCCTGGCCCAACAACAGGTGACTCCTCTCCCGCCCCCTCCTCACTCTTTACCAAAGAACAGGCTCAGTGAAGTCACTAAAGTCAGGCAGCGGTTCAGAAACAGGTTGTCTTCATTCACGTCTATGCCGGGCCTCCCTCATCAGCCCCCGCCCCCCGCCTGGCTCCCTGCCCTCCCGCCTGGGTAAATGCCCATGATGAAATATGCCGTGGGTCGGGCTGCTTGTCTGAGTTAAGTCCTCAGCGAGGTTCCTGCCTCGTGTCCCTGCCTCCGTCCCCGTAAGCCCCTGCTCGGGACGCCGTGCTGGGCCCACCTCACCAGCCACTCTGTCTTCCTCTTCACCCGTCTCCTCGGTTACCCCCGGCCGTGGTACCCCGCACGTTCTGCTGAGCAGCCGCATGGAAGTCCCATGGTCTCCAGGAAATCATCTTTCCCAACATCAGACTTAAAAGGCCTCAGTTGTCCCTGGAGAGACAT